GACCACAAAATGATACAGAAATGATCTTAAACCTGAGTTTCCTGATCTGTGAAATGGGTGTGATATCAGCTAAAGGGGTTGCCAGCATTACAAAGTCGACCACAGTGGCCCGGCCCCTTGCAGGTGCTCCACAGGGTTGCACATCTCAAGTCTCTCATCTTTCCAAGCGAGCTTATGGCTCCTCTTAAAGTTTCCCAAATGAACAGAATATGGGAACTCTCAGCAAAGACTTAGAGAACCCAGAATAATACCATCTGTTTTTTTGATTTTTGGAGGAGAAGGGAGGTTGGCTAGTTATACACACACTCAAGTGTACAATGGCTGTTAATTAATAAAATTTAAAATAGAGATAATGATTGATTCATCACTGAAGCTTTGAATGGCAGTCATTTTTACTCAAAATATGCTTCCTGAAAGTTAGTGTCGTATAGACGAGTCATAAAAATTTCTATTCCCTATTCCCTTAAAGAGACAGTTTGCACGGAATAACCAGTCACTACATTTTCAGACAGGTGAACAATGTGCTGTAAGTGATGTTTCTGTAAGCAAATGTACAGACAGATCAGCAAATGCTCTATTAAGCAAAGAACATATTCTAAGGTCAGGTGTAGTTTTTAGAAGCTCATATTCGTGTCTCAATTTACCTTGGTTCAAAGGACTGAACAGTTAAAAGAGACTAAGAATTTATTCCTTCCTTTATTCAACAAATACTCAATTTAAACTTTGCCTCCTATGTTCTAAGCACTGGGAACATGATGAATAAAACAAATAGTCCTTGTCCCTAAAAAGAGTATGTGTTTGTGGGATGACATGTTATAACCAAATAACCAAGTACACATATAGTATAATGTCAGTAGTGAAAGAATATGAAGACAAAACAAGGCTAGGTAATAGGACAGTGGGTGCTGGCAGCCAGGAGGAGGCACCACTCACAGCCCCACCAGGGCGACGGCCACACTGAAAGGCCGTGCTGTGGGCCAGAAGGCTTAAAGGAACCACCAGTTCCAGTTTTACTTCTTTTCTGTCTTTTAAAATCAATTTTTCCACTTAGTCTTACCTTTTAAATTCTTTGATGATAAATAGCTGATATGAAAAGATAAGCACACACATTCGCACATACAACTAGAAACATTTCATTTCAAATTACTGGTCAGATTTATCCAGTTCAGCTCATGCTTGCTTATGACCTCATAATGGTGCACCCCAGGAATTATGATCAATAATATGAACACACTGAGCTGTGATAGTTTCCACCAAAAATCATTACAGATTCTGTTTATCTTATTTAAGCAACACATAACGAATATAATTCTGTTCTACCAGATTTTTCCCCCTGGGTAAGTGACAAACCAGTAACATGGCAAAATTAGGCTAGAACTTAGACATCAAAAACACTCTTTCCCCTGTCCTTATCACCTCTTGAAAACAGAGGCACTAAACCATCCCCCTCAATACAGCCAGCAGCCCTCCATCTTCTTCAGGTCTCCATGGAATATACACACAGGCTAAGCCCTGAGCTTTTTAATTCTAGATGACTGGCTACCAGAAAAAGATCAAAGATGCTACTGAAAAACTGATGGCTCTTGTTGCTGAGCTGTCCATGAAGCAAGCTATGGCCATTGAACTCCAAAAGGAAGTCAAGGAGAAAGAAGACTTCATCCTTAACTGCAACTCCAGGATAGAAAAGGGTCTGCCGCTCAATAAAGAGATTGAGAGAGAATGGCTGAAAGTACTTCGAGATGAAGAAATGTATGCCCTGGCTGTCGCTGAAAAGTCGCGGGTAAGCTATGGCCCCTATATCGCATTCATAAAGTGTGCTGAGAAGGGCTGTTTTCAGGGGCGTCAGTCCTCCCAAAACACATGAATAATTTCCATTCTACCACACACATAGTCCCAACAGTCACTAGAAAGAAGTTTTGCTTTTTTTAAGATATTATGTAGGCAAGTCTAAGTACACTAGTTTCCAAGTGTCATTAATATTCCCTGGAAAACACCTGCCAGGCACTGAGTCCCACCTGATAATCTTACTTCTGGGCTGGGGTTGTGAACACCAGGGCCTCCGACTGGTGTGACAGCGACCAGGCTGGCACTGTTTTATCCACAGGTCTCTAATCTCTGTCTTTGCAGCCCTGCTCAGACCAGACCTCATTCTCCCAGGTCCATCTGCTGTGGCCACCACAACACATTACAGTTGTCACAGCCTCCTGCAGACTCTGCACCTGGTGCAGAAGTCTTCTTCCCTTCTTCTCCCACCACTGGCCTAAGTCTATCCCTGGCTCCATCCTGTCACTGACTCTACCTACACGATGGGGGCCCAGTTCTTATTCCTACTCCCATGACCTTTCGATAGTCTTAGAATAGAATTAGGCAGCTCTTTCTAAGGAGACTGCATCCCGGGGACCTACCACTCTCAGGCTACGGCGTAGACATCCCCCAAAGGATCCCTGTGCAACCCCGACCCAAGAACAAGGTGCATTCTAAACACAAACTCGGAATTCCTGAAAACAGGGTCTGATTTGTAATTCCCACGCTGTCTGGAACTGTATTTTTGAGGGGATTCAGATTTTACCTGTGGTGTCCCCAGCTGTCATTCACCTGTCTCCATTTTTCGAGTTCTTTTTAAGCTATAAAAGACTCCTCCATCTCCCAGCAGCACAGGCAGACTCCTGAGGCTCAGAGCAAGCTGCTGACTGCTTCTCTCCTCTGGTTCTGCTTTACTCCTTATCCCTTCCTTTGCACCATTCGCTCACCAATGACCGACCAAAGGAAATAGATTGTCCTGCCTTTGTCAAAAACATGGGAATAATTAGTGCTTGATGAAAGATGCTGAGTTTGGAATACGGTGAATTTAGGCCCCACCAACCAGTTTACAATAAACCCTAAACCCCAGGAACAGAGTGATGCTTGAGCAACACTGGTCATTCCAATGAGATGCACGGTGCGCGCACGGGTGTGCGTGTTTGCCGGCTCCACCCTTATGCCCTCCTGTCCCTCTGGAGAGTGTTGGCAGCACAGCCTAAGGCTGCTCAGACGCAGCTGTGTCTGTTGGGCCCTGAGAACAGAGTGACTTTACCAGAGTTTTCAAAATCTGAAAAGGATAAATCATTCTTTGCAGGAGCTCTTGGAAGCAGAAAATCGCCAGCTGCCCAACGGTGTTTACACAACTGCAGAGCCGCGTCCAACTGCCTACATCCCAGAGGCAGAGGCCACTCTTCCTCTGCCGAAACCGTATGGCGCTTTGGCTCCTTTTAAGCCCAGTGAACCTGGGGCCAACATGAGGCACATAAGGAAACCC